AAAGGAAAGGAAAGGAAAGGAAAGGAAAGGAAAGGAAAGGAAAGGAATGGAGAAAGGAAGGGAGGAAGGAAGGGAGGAAGGAGGGAAGGAAGGAAGGAAAAAGGAAGAAGGGAGGAAGGAAAAAAGGGAGGAAAGGAGGAAGAAAAAAGGAAGGAAGGAAGGAGGGAGGGAGGGAGAGAAGAAAGGAAGAAATAAGGAAGAAGAAAAGAAGGAAAAAAGGAAGCAAGGAAGGAAAGGAGGAAGGAAAGAAGAGAGGAATGGAGGGAGGGAGAGAGGAGGGAAGGAAAGGAGGAAAGAAGAATTTATTAAGCACCCATTATAGGCTAAGTGGTTTATAAATATCTCATTTGATCCTCACAACAACTCTATGAGGTAGGTGCTGTTATTATCCCCATTTTACAGTTGAGGAAACTGAAGCAGAAAGCACTTAAGTGACTTTCCCAGGATAACACAGCTAGTGAATGTCTAAGACCAGATTTGAACTCAGTTCTTCCTCACTCTGGGCTCAGCACTCTATCCATTGCACCACCAATCTGCCTGAGATTGACAACTCATAGGTTGCTTCTCTTTGTAATTTATAGTCATAAAGAGCTGCCTAGGCCACTGAGAGTTAAGTGACTTGTCTGTTGTCACAGTTAGTACATATAAGAGACAAGATTTGAACCCAAGCTTCATGACTCCAAAGTCATCCATTATGTTATGCCATCCAAAAGGCCTAGCCCATTATTACTCTGCAAACACAGAAGTGTCGAGTTCATGATTACATTTATGGTCAATTGCATTTTTTCATATGCTTTTTTTCATTCATTCTTTCAATGAGCACTGAGTACTCACTGTGTGCACAGGTACATGTAACTGTCATGGAATTTCTTGCAGGCTCACTAGATGGCTTAGTGGATAGAGCACTGGATCTGGAGCCAGGAAGACCTGAGTTCAAATCCAGTTTGAGACACTAGCTGTGTGACCCTGGGCAAGTCACTTAACTTCTGACTGCCTCAGTTTCCTCAACTATAAAATGGGCATAAGAATAGCGTCTACCTCCCAAGATCAAATGAGATAACATCTATACACACAGTGCCTGGCACATAGTAGGCACTTATATATAATTGTTTCCTTTCTTCATCATCCAGTTTCTTTTCCAGCCTCTCTCCAGTTCCCAGACTGCCAACAACCAGGCTAGTTTCAGGAGAGAAACAAGCACAGGTAGGATTCCATTCCACAAACATTTATTAAGATACTACTAAGTATAAGGTCCTATGATAAACATTAGAAATACAAAGACTTAACTAAAACAATTCCTGACCTTAAAGAGGTTGCACTCTACTGTGGGAGGTGAGAATGGGAGGGATTTACTGTATACACCAATAAGGATTTTTTTCCTTCTCTGAACATGTGATTTCATCTCTCGGTGTGGAAACTCCTTCAGCGGAAGTAGATTCACAACTCATCTCTGGCACCCATTCTGAAACTTACAGTCTTAGAGAGTTACCTGAGGAACTAAGAAGTTAAGTGACTTACCCAAGGTCACACAGACAGTATGTGTCAGAAACGGGATTTTGAACCCAGTTTTGAACTGCCCCTTTTACTGTACAAAAACTATAAGAACACCTAAGCTACTGTTCAATCATGTCTGTTGTTTTGCATTAGTTATACTTTTTTTGTCTTTCCATTAGCACAAACAAACAAACACTGACTGCACTAAATGGAACTTTCCTGATTCCCCCCCTATTTTGTGATCTTTCCAGTAATGAGAAGACAGATTCTCCTGTTGCTTAAACCATCTTGGACTGAAGTTAAACCACTTTAGAAGTCTCATTAGTTTTTGTAAGACACTAATGGGGCTTAGTACTCGGCAACTGCTCATAATCCCAAAAGTTTCTACCCAGCATGAACAGTGAAGTTAATTGAGTCCAATTCCTTCATTTTATAGGGGAAACAAGCATCCACGTACTACACTAAACACTTTACAAACACTTATCTTATTTTATAGGTGGAGACTGTAAAGCACAGAGAGGTTAATTTTCTTGCTCAATGTCACACAGCTGGCAGAGCCAAGTAGACCCAGGAATGTGCTGGACCCAGTTCTAACTGGCTTGTGAGGGCCCATTGTTGAATTTTCAGATTGAATTTAAGATTGCACATTGAAATTAAAAGTGTGTTTGCATGCTTTTTCCCCCTGGAGAACCTGGTTGTTAAACATATACCTGCTTACCTTTGTATGGCTCCATAAACATTGCTTGAGCTCTGCAGGAGGACTGTGGAAGTCATCACCAGCCTTGAGGACTGATGATTGTAGTCTAATAATAATAACTCATTTACATAGAGCTTTAAGGTTTGCAAAGTGATTTACATTCATTATCTCATTTGAGTTTCATATCGTATCTCTTGGTAGGACCCAGACTTCTAGTTCCTTACATCACCCTGCCAGCTGCCTGGTGAGTGACCATTTCAAGATCTGAAATAGACTCAACCAACAAGTGTGTATTATGCACTTACTATGTGCTGAGCACTATGCTGGGTGTTAAGGACATAAAAAAATGAGCGCTCTCTCTCTCTCTCTCTTTCTCTCTCTCTCTGTCTGTCTCTCTCCACTTTCTCTTTGTCTCTCTGTCTCTCTATCTCTCTTCCTCTTTCTCTCTGTCTGACTATCTCTCTCTACTTTGTCTCTGTGTCTGTCTCTCTATCTCTTTATCTCTGTTCTCTTTGTCTGTCTCTGTCTGTCTGTCTCTCTCCACTTTCTATCTCTGTCTCTGTCTCCCTTTCCCTGTGTCTGTCTGTCTCTCCTCTTTCTCTCTGTCTGTCTCTGTCTCTCTCTCTCTCAGAGAGCTTACATTCTTAAGGAGAGATAACATATGTATACACATATACATATATAAAGTACATACATATAATATGTGCATATATAAACATATGTAGAATAAATATATACAGAATAAATGCAAAATAAAACAAGAAATTTAGGGAGGAGAGTACAAATACTTAAGGGGTTTGGGAATCAAGAAAGGCTTCCTTTAGAAGGTGGTGCTTTAATGACTACTCCAATACCCAAATGAACTACAAAGATTATAATATGAAGAGAGATGCTATCTGTATGCAGAGAAAGAACTGATAAATAGAAGTATGTATGGAATGGTTTTTAAAATATACTTATTTGTGTCTCATGGTAGCTATCTCTAGGATAGAAGAGGGAGAGAAGGAAGAAAAAAGGGAAAAAAAAGAAATTTCCATGATAACTTTATTGCATTTTAAAAGGAATAATAGCAAGTAATTCATAATAGATTTGCAGTTTCAGATGCAATCATCTTTTTATTATACTATATTATGGAAATGCTTGTTTTATTTCATAAATTAAAAATAAAATAAACTATTAAAAAAGAAGGTGGTGCTTTAATGACTTCACGTGTATTGCTTGCTTTCTCAGTGGGTAGAGGAGGAGTTAGAGGGAAGGAGAGAATTTGAAACTCAAAATGTTTAAAAACAAATGTTAAATATTTTTTAAGTGATGCTTTAGCTGAGTCTTGAAGGAAGTGAGGGATTCTGTGAGGTGGAAGTGAAGAAAAAGTGCATTTCTGGCATGGGAATGGCCAATTCAAAGGACCAGAAATGGAAAATGAAGTGGGGAATTGAGTAAGAGCAAAAAAGTCAGTTTGCCTGAACCCTAGAATACAGGAAGGAAAGTAATATATAGTGAGACTCAAAAGACAGGCTGTGATTTGGGGTTTGGTTAAAGGACCTTGAGGGTTAGAAGCGTCTGGATAATGGTAGCCAGCTCATAACAGCAGGCTTTCAAATCCATATTTTCATAATCTTACTCCCAAAGAAACCACCCCAGGTAGAAAGAGGACAAACTCTCCTCCTTTCCCCTCTATATCAGTCCTGCCTGAGATTTTTATTTTCTTGTTGTCTAATACACCTGACCTCTAAACTGTTTGAGATGGAGGTGACAGTCTTTGACTGGCATCTGGGGATCCAGGATTTCCCCAGTACCATATTCTTTTGGTCTAGACTTGAACAGCCTTCCCCCTTTCCCTTTTATTTTGTCCAAGACAAAGACTGGATTGTTTAAAAAAAATCTTTACCAGCAACCAAGGGAAGATATAAATGTAAGAAGCTAGGCCGAGATGGGCTGCTAGTCCTACAGAGTGTTGGGTGGCCAGGGGCCACAACACATCTGGCATTTTATTGCCTCACTCGTCAAAAATGCTGACCAAACCTAGTCTTGACGCCCTTATTCTCATGGGTCAAGGGTGTTCCCCAAATGTTCTTTGCATTCGTTAGTCAATCCAGGTAATATTTAGAGTCAGTCATCCTGTGTATCCTTGAACTTGTTGCCATGAATCACCACCTCTTATGACATCCTACCTCAGTAGCTTATGGTAGGATGTGGCAACCTTGCTTAGACTCACCTGTCCTTATTCGAACCAGCAAGTCCAAAACATAGATGACATCAGCAGTATAATCCAAGACCAGCCATAGCATCAAGTGGTCACTTTGAAGTTCATCAAAACAGGCTCTAAGCAATTATAAACAATACAGGTGATGTCAGAGCTCCTACTGCAGGTAGAGAAGGCAAAGAATGTATGCCCAGCTGTCAATTTTTATGACTTTCTAATGAGAGAAATGATTATTAATAACCAATAATTTGGGGAGATTCAGAGTTCTCCTCTTCTAAAGTCCTGATTTTAAAAATGAATAATAATTTATAATATAATACATAATATAATAATATATAATAAAAAATAAAAAGTCTCTTGAAGGACATTTCTGATGAAGACATAGAATTAACTCTCCTCAATCTTGGTCAGACCCCACCTGGCTTTATGAGGAATTTAATCTAAGGTGGGGAAGCCCCTGCTCAGGTTTGGGTGGGGATACATTTTTGGATTAGATAGCCCAAACCTGGGGGTAGTCTGGGTAGACAGATAAGATTCTCTGTTCAAGGGTGACATGATATCATTCTGAGCCCCTCATGTTAATATAGCCCACCTCCCATGGTGTTAACCAATCAGAGTTGATTGCCACTCTCTTCCAAAAGAGCATATAAGCCTTGAGCCCGCCCGCCATGTTTGTCTTTGAAAAGTCTAAGAGAGATGGCCAAATGACCATCTTTTTATTAACAATGTGCTGGCCTTATTAATAAAATGATTAAATTGTGCAGAAACTATGTCTCTTGAGCAGTCTTAATCATCACAGTAAGGAGTTTGGAACTTGGGAAGGATGGAAATGGGAAGGACAGAGGATGCAGACAGGTACATTCCTGAGTCAACCTCTAAAGGCTACAGAGGTCACAGTTCCTTCACTACAAAATACCAACCTTCACTGTCCATCAGCTCCTAGGTGTGACAGTCAGTAATAATAATAATAATAACAACCAGCTTTTATATAACACTTTTATATAACCACTTTACTTATGTTATCTCACTTGATCATTACAATAACCTTGTGGGGGTAGGTGCTATTATTATTCTCATTTGATAGACAAGGAAACTGAGGCTGAGAGGGTACGTAATTTGTCTGGAATCACATAGCTATCTGAGGCAGGATTTGAACTCAGGTTTTTCTGACTCCCAGTCCAGTGCTCTAACCACTGTGTCACCAAGCTGCTTTTATTTCTCGCACCTTAACAGCTTTCTCTACTTCATCTTCAGGTAAATGGTATCAAAAAGCCCTAAGTTTATCCTAAGAACAGGGACAGACCAAACCTCATCTTCTGTCTTTCCTACTTGTCTAGATAGGGCCAACTCTTGGTAGGGAGTCCAAAAGGAGGTCTTGGGACCACAGAATCCTACAGCTGAAAGGAACTAGTTTTGCGTCATGGACCCCTTTGATATCTGATGAAATCTATGGACCTCTTCTCATGTTTTTAAATGCATAAAATACAATACATAGGATTACCAAGGTGACCAATTGTATTGAAACATACATTTAATTTTTTTTCTCATCCAAGTTCACAGAACTCCTGAAATCTCTTCACAGACCAGATTAAGAACCTGTGATCTAGTCCAGTGCCCACTTGGCCATCACTGAAGAGGTGAGGACACTGAACCCTAGAGAGGGAAGGTAACTCACTTAAGGTCACATGACTGGTCAGAGGCAGAGCTGAACTCAGGTGTCCTGATTCCTAATCTATGGCACCACTTTCTTTTCTCCTCCAGCCCCAAGATTCCATACCTGCACACAAGCATGCACCAGTTATAGAAGACAGGGATGGCAATGATGGTCAGCCACCTATAGTACAGGTTGCTAGAAGGGTCTATCACAAAGATTTCTTTCTTCCTTCTGAAAAAAAAAATATACACATCCACATTAAGAAGCATAGTAGGAGGACTGAGGTTCAGCTGGAGACTCAGAATACTTGGGCCCAAAGTCCTTCTTGGAAGGATAATTAGGTCACTCGCCTTAGTCACGTAAGATACCACCTCCAGGGTAATGCCCTCTACTTCCACATACTTTGTGCTATAAACTGGAGCATTCCTGAGGCGAAAGACTGCCTAAGAAACCGTGGACTAGATAGAGGTCTTCTGAAGTTCCCTTCTAGGACTCAAGTCCAGGACCCTTTTCTCTTTTTGTCAATTGTAAAGGATAACCATGTAGTAACAGAAGTAAATTCCATATGTTGTAGCATCCTTTCCTCAAGTCAGCCCATTGCCTCATTGTGATAGAGAGGTGACTTTATGTTCTCAAAGGTGATGCCAAGGTGTCTCAAAGCTCAGACAGGCCAGAGCAAGAGAAGTCAGAAAGTCTCTGTGTGTCTGATAGACAAGTCAGAAAGTCTCCTAGTCTGGGCACAGGTTCTGTATCTGTTGTCTAAGGAACAGCCCAAGTGTGGCTCAGCTCGTCACCAAAAGGCTGTCCAGGAGATGATGAATTTTCTCAGTCACAGCAACTTGTAAAGGAGGCCTTGCTTGCTGTATCAAGAAAAGGGGTACCCATGACAGACCTATGTCATTTGGAAGGGTATAAGAGAAAATACAGTACAGTATAGATGCTACACAGATAAGTAGTAGAAATCACACCTTAGACCTTCCATTCCATGGGTTTTATCTGGGCACAGCCATTCCCTATAGGTTTCAGAACTCAGTACCATGCCCTGTCTCCATGAATGATCTAGGTTATTTAGGCAGAGCACTTCAAGCAGGTAAATGAAATCAGGCGAAATGGTTTTACTTTCCTTTTTCTTTGCATCCCCAGCTCTTAACAAAGTGCCTTGCATATGGTAGGTACTTAATTGTGGTTAATACTGATTCTAACAAAGTAGCTTTTTTAAAAATTAGTTTTACAATTTTCCTACAAAGTAAGTTCTCAAGGATTACATTCAGAACTCCTATTTTCACTTAGACGTAGTGGATCTTCCTCTGTCATACCATGCATGCCATAAACTGAAATCCAGGAACTCACGTTTTGCCAAAAATGTTCTTGCATTCTATTAGGAACTTCCAAAGATTCTGCCTGCCTTTGCTGATGCTTTAAGAGCAGGATGGGATGCTCATTTGTATGGGTTTGGAGTTTTCCCAGGATTCCCCTCATCCACCAAAACTGAAGTAAAGTTGGTAAGCTCCCTCAACGACCAAGAGAGTCCACATTCTTTAAAGGAGAATTCAGCTTCCCTAAGAAGCAAACCAATTCCATTTGTGTTTGCCTGCGTGGGCAGTCGCTTGGGTGGGGAGTGTGAATTGGCTAACTAGCAGGTTTGCTGAGCTACCGTAGAAACAGGTAAGTCATATAGACGGGGTCATTGGGTGGGCAAACAGGTTTTCTAATTTTCCCTCCATCCTGCAAAGGAGCTCGTTTACTTAGTCTAGGGGTGGGGAACCTACAGCCTTGAAGCCACATGTGGCCCTCAAGCGTGGCCTTTTGACTGAATCCAAACTTCCACAAAACAAATCCCCCTAATAAAAGGATTTGTTCTGTAAAACTCGGACTCAGTCAAAGGGCCACACTTGAGGACCTAGAAGGCCACATGTGGCCTCAAGACTGCAGGCTTCCCACCCTTGACCTAGTTCCTTTTTGTTAATGGCTCTGGTGAAGGACCTTTTCCCATAAAACGTGAACCCTGAAACAATTTCCAGGAAGGAAATTATCTTCCCGAGACTGGGAACTCCTTATTTTCTTCCCGATAATAGCAATACCTCTGTTCTCTTTGTATGGTGTTGAAACCCTGTGTTGAAGTAGGGACTACAGGGGAGAAGAAAAGATGGTGGAAGCCCACCCTGGGCGCTTGAAAGCTGTCTTCCAGCTTGGAGCCAGGGGCTGCCAGGACAGGATAGTGCATTACTGCCATTCCAAAGATGTCCAAGATGTATTGATCGTAACACCTTTCAGAAGCAGGGTGTTATCCACAATACCTTTTCACCCAGTACTTACTCTACTTCCTTTGAAGGTTTATCTTTTTTCTCTTCTTCCTTTTCCTTCTTTTCCTCCTTTTTTTCCTCCTTTTTGCTGCATAACATAGGGTGACATTGAGCAATTTTTAGGTAATTTTTAGGTACCAACTATTGTTCTACTGCGGGGGGAGCAGGCTGAGCAGAGGCAGAGCAGAGGATGGGGAGGATTTAAATGTTTCTTTATGGGACAGAGAACTTTTGAGTAGGTCTCGGCAACTAGCTTATGTGACCCAATCTCTGACATTAACAGGCTAGGATGAGAGGAGACTATTGATTTGGGAAAAGAAAATAAAAATCCATTCACCTCGACTTCAAGTCAAAACACACAGAGTTGAGAACATATTTCCAGTGTTCCCTGCTCATGGACGACTTGTTTCTCAACCTCTGCTCTTGAAATGTTTTGAGTGTCTCTAAGGAGTCATAAGTCATCCTAGGACCTTCTGGGGGAGTCGAAATGAAGCTCTAAAAGAATCCAAATCCACAAAGTGGAAAGATCATTTGAAACATGTTGAGTTATTTTGAAGAAGGCCCTAAAAGCAGGAGACACTGTGGTAAGAATGCTCACTTTGGAACCAGAGGGTCTTTGTTTGAATCCCAGCTCTTCTATTTAATGTCTGTAGGGCTTTGGATAGGCAGCTTGGTAGTGCAGTGGCTAGAGTACCAGGCCTGGGTTCAGGAAGACCTGAGTTCAAATCTAGCCCCGGACACCTACTATCTGTGTGACCCTGGGCAAATCACTTAACCCTGTTTGCCTTAGTTTCTTCATTTGTAAAATGAGCTGGAGAAGGAAATGGTAAACCACTCCAGTATCTTTGCCAAGAAATCCCCAATTGGGGTCAAAAAGAGTTGGACATGACTGAAAAACTAAACAAACAAACAACAAGGACTTTGGACAAGTCACTTCACTTATCTTGACAACAGTGTTGTCACCTGTAAGATGAGGTTGGGGTAGGACTAGGAGTGGGGGTGGGGGGGGTTGGGCCAGATGACTTCTAAGGTCCTTTCTAGCTAGTGACATGGGAATCATCTGCTAGAGAGAAAGCACAGCATAGTAGATAGATAATTAGAATTGGAGTCAGGAAGACCTGAGTATGAATCCTGCCTCAGACCTTTGTTCTCTATGTGACATTGAGCTCTGTTCTCTGCCTCTGCCTCAGTTTTCCCTTCTATAAAAGGGGTATAACAATAGCATCTTACAGGGTTGTGAGGATCAAATGAAACAATGTATGTAAAGCGCTTTGCTGTACCTTCAAGTGCTACATGAATACTAGGTATCATAATAGGCAAGTTAGTTTTGAGAAACAAGAGGTGATTAGAGGAAATAGCACTTCACAGGCAGAAGTGACCATTTCCCAAAGTAGGGGGTGGGGATTATTATTTTCCCATTTTTCCTACAAATTTGCTCTCATACACTACATTCAGGGCTCCTGTTTTCACTCAAATCCTTGTAAAACCATCAGGCAGCTTAGGCAAGAAGGTGTCTGCGTCACTTACAGTGATGGACCTCAGGGCCAACTGGCTTTTGGTCACTGTGGCAGAGTCACGGATTCATAGATTCTTAGAGCTGGAAAGGACTTCTAGTCTCTTTTTCTTTTACTGAGGAGTGATTTGAGGCCCAAAGGTCACACAGCTAGCGAGCAGCGAAGCAGGGTCTAGAAGCTAGGCCTTCTGGTTCCCAGAGCAAAGTTCTTCCAACTATGCAGAATTCAGACCCAGCTCCAAGCCTCGTGGGAAACTACCAGCAACTCATCCCTGTTGGCCAAGCTTCACGAAGCAGTCTTCTTGGGAGGTTTATGCTTCTACTTGCTTTGGGTCAGAAATAACTGTAAAAATGCAAACTCCTACATGGCAGGGATTGGGGTTTGCTGCTCAGAGGGCAAGGCTTTGAGGGACAGCCTAGGGCAGCTACTCCCAATATGGAGGGAACCTCAGCCCCACTTTGGGACATAGATTTGGTTCATAGAATATCAGAGTAATATTGGCCCTTAGACAATGTATAGTTCAACTTTCTCCTCTTTTTAGAGTGTGAACTGGCAAGAACCAGAAAACGCCAAATAATCTCAATAGTACTAATCGAGTCTTTTAAAATGATGCTTATAGCCTCCAGGCTGCCCAGTGAGAAACAAAGACCTAGCCAATACAAGATGTCCCAGAGTTTGAGGCGTCTTTGTCTGCCTTTAAAGTACTAGCATCAGTTCACCAGCAGAGGCTGCTATTCACACGATTATCATGCCGTACTAGCTCCTATTTTGAGTTTTCCTTGCTTAGTGTGAGGAGGTCAGGCTGGTAATGCTCCAGCCTGTTTCCTTGGCCCTGTGACAATATGCTGTCTCTGCAGTCCATCTGTTGCCTGTTAAGTGATAACTGCCTAGAGTACCTTGAGAATCCAGAAAGAACACACATGCCCATCATCAAATCTAGCCGTAGCTGGGCCTTACCAAACTAGGGAGAGATTTTATTTATTTTTTTTAAACCAAGGAGGCTTTCTCCTAAGGTTATCAGGAGAGCTGTTAGACAATGTTAGCATTGGTTGGGGCCCATGGGGGCAACTGGAAACAAGACTGAGAGATGCTATTCGGATTGCAACAGGACCAATAGGAAAAATTCCCTGAAATTTTGAGAGGAAAAAAAGAGAAAGGAGGGAGAGACAGAGACAGAGAGACACAAAGAAAGAGACAAAAGAAACACAGAGACAGAGGAGGTGAGCTTTCATGTGGACAGATAGGATGTTACATATAGAGCATTTTTTTTTTTAGTATTCTATGATACTATCAAGTTTGCCCTTTTTTGATAGAATCATCTCTGACTGTATCTGCCTGTCCCTGGCTCTGACTTGTATCCACACCTGTTTCCGGCTTTGAGGAATAGCCTGGGGCAGCTACCTCCTAATAAGGCGGGAGCCTCAGCCCCACTCTGGGGCGTAGATTCAGCTTATGAAATGTCAGCGCCGGATTGGCCCTTAGACCGTGCATAGTTCAACCTTGTCCTGTCCTTGTCCTGAGTCAAACTGAGATACCGTCACATCTCCCAGCCTTGTCCTGTAAGGCTGGGAGATGTGATGGTGTCTCAGTTTGACTCAGTTGGCAAAGCTAAATCTAGAATTCATCATGCCCCTTGACCTCAATACCAGAATGCTTTTCTCAGTGTAGCTCTCTGTCCCTCAGTTGAGGGGGGAGGAAAGAAGGAAGATAGAGAACACCCTCCAAAACTCCCCCCACCTCATTGCCCACTGTTTCTCCTGATTTTAAATCTGTGTGGTTTCAATATGTTTAAAGTCTCAGGTGTGTTTAAATATTGAGTTTGGCTATGATTCAAGTAGGTTTCATGAATGAATGAATTCTAATTTTTTTTACATGCTGGAGTTTTGGCCTCTTGAATTTGATGTGCAAATTTATGCAAACAAAAAGCAAATATTGGTCCCTGCCGGAAATGAAGGGGAGGGGAAACCTTATCCTAGGAATGAAATGGAAAATAACAAGGAATTCCAAATAATTATAGCACTTTTCTCACTATAAGAAGATTCAATGTGGAGAACTCAATTGGACTAAAAAATGTTAACTTTCCCAATCTACTGTCCCACCACACTGATTTTTTGCCTCAGAAATCTGGGCTTAGAGTGGTTGCAAGGGTGTGGGGAAGCCATGATTCACTAGCCTCATGCTCAGAAAATATAAAGCCATCATTACTGGGGACAAGACCTACAGAGTTTTGAAAATGAAATCTAGCCCGTGATTCCTAAATTCAGTTGTGGTCATTTAATGCTGAAGCAATACTGAAGAAAAACAGTCTGCTACTGGGGGGACACGAAGGAGGGAAGACTCAGGTCTAGCTTTCCCTCGCTTTGACCTTGTAGCATGGCTTTCAAAAGCAAGGATAGGAAGTTCCATTACCTAGAACTCTTCCTAGGAGGGAGGCAGCAGCAGGACACCAGGGGGAGAAAGAGTAGAGCAGGAGTTTCTACAGCTAGCAGAGTCACCACCAGGGGGAGGCATTGTAAAACAGAGGAGAGGAGGCTTGGTTGATTTGGCTGAGGGAGAGCTGGGGGTACTTACTCTTCGTTGGCATTGTTGCAGGTGCTGATATTATGTCTGGCCAGCGGCCAGCCTCTGTAAGGAGGTAAATAAAACACAGAATTTGGAGAGCTTTCAATCTGTTTTCAGTTACTCAGGGCCCTTGATTTCTACTTTGTGCATCATCCAGGTCCTTGGCTTCCATTCTCTCCCCTGTCTCTTGGACCCATTCCTGCTTCCGCTGTGTTCTGTCCCATTCTGGATGCTGCGCTCATGAGGCTGTTCAACTCATCAGTAAACTGCTTAGGGAGTTGAGTTGGTGTTCACAGGGAACCAATATAGCAGGCTGTTCAAAAAACTAATGCAGCCTTCTTAAACTTCATTAAAAGGAACATAGCATGTAGAACAAGTGTGACCCTGCGCAAGTCACTTAACCCTGTTTGCCTCAGTTTTCTCATCGGTAAGAATGAGCTCGAGAAGGAAATGGCAAACCACTCCAGTGTCTCTGCCAAGAAAACCCCAAATAGGGTCACAAAGAGTCAGACATGAATGAAAAGACTGAACAACAATAAAATGGAGAAAAAGGGAGGCAAGGGTTCCACTCTACTTTGATTGACTTGTCAGAGCATATCTGAAGTGTTATGTTCAGTTTGGGGGCCATGAACAAACTGGAATTCAATTCAATAAACATTTTTTAAACCATACTGTGTGCTGTGCACTGGGGACACAAAGACAAACATGGAAAAGTCCCTGCCCTCAAGGAGCTCTCATTCTACTCTGGAGAAACAACACATGCACAGAGATAAATATTATATGTGTATGTGATATGTTAAACATAATATATATGTGTATATGTAGATACATGTGATATATATACATACATGCATATATGTATATATGTATATCTGCATATGTGTGTATATATGTATATATATGTGTGTGTGTATCTATCTATCTATCTATATATATGTGTGTGTGTGTGTGTGTGTATGCATTTGTAATTTCAGCAGGGAGATGGGGAGAGTCCGAAGAAGTGGGGGGATCA